AAAACTCGAATAAAAAGTACGTTACACAACGCTGGATATTTTCAATTTTCTGTGTCAAAGTCAAGCGGTTGGTGGATCCAACGACCTTTCTAGTATTTTTTTTTCTGTAGTTCAAAACCACTTGGCTTCAGTGACACCAAATGTTAGCTTCCCAGTCCACACTCCAGACCAATTGGTAGCGCACCATTTTGTTGTTTACCAATAACTATAGAATACCAAGAAGACGAACACAAAGAAGGATGCTGAGCTGCAATACAAAAACTTTGCCATGTCACAGTTTTATAGCTGATATTGTGACATAATTACATTTTATGCTGTGGATCAACACAGCTGTTGTACAATCCCTAGTGAGACTGGGCTGGATAATACTTTTTTTTTTTTTTTTTAAATATAGGTTTATTTATTCAGGTTTTGATCTGACTGTGATTTATTCTGTCACCAGCAAACTGGAAGTGAATATAACTGACAATGAAAATGACATTTAAATAATGCAGGTCTTTGCAAAAACAATGTCCTCATTATTATACTAATCCACAGATCACATTGTCAACAGTTTTCACAAGTTGTGTTACTTTGGTTCAAAGCACTTCTAATGAAAACTGTTGACAGTGAGGTCTGTGGGTTATCTACAGTAACCAGGACACTGTTTCTGAAAAGATATGTTGTTGTTGAATTATTAAAATGTAATTTTTCAACACTGTGAGAACCACAAATGATTTTTTTTTTGTATTGTGATGGAAGCTTAAATCTCAGAGACCAATATCTTACCTGAGTGAACAATACCAAAACTATATACATGGTAGGGTTGGGCAATAACATGGTATTTTAAGAAATATTAAAAATAGCAGTGGTATTCTTTTAATTGCCTTGATGACAAAAACCTGCTGTGCAATGTACAGCACCACTGCCTGTGTTTGAAGATGCTATAAAAGTAATGACAGAACTCTTGTAAATGATATAAACCTAATTTATCAGATAAAGAACCTGTCAAATAAATAAACTCACTAATTAGATGCTCTCATACTTGCATGTCACATGACGGCCTCTTATAGAGACGCTATCCCCATACAGCTACATACAGTAGCTACATCAACTACATCCAAATGTCTACTTTGGTGTGGAGTGTGAGCATAGACAAGATAAAAATTTATTCATCTGCAGTGTTTGTGTTATCTGCCGACAGTTGCTAGCTAGCGTTAATTCCTGTGCCGAGAGGTGAGATTAGGCTGCAGAGTCATTTTTGAGTCTGTTGCTCTTGTTAACGGGTTCTTTAGGTCCTCTACAAGTTAGCTACAGTCAGCTAAGGTTATCCATTCTGAAGTACCACTGTCAGTAAAATGAGATCTAAATAATTTAAGCAAATTTTTAGCCAAACAAAACAAGAATTTATGGAGGTAAATACAGCATGTCCTTACAAAATTACATGCAGTGATAACACCACATGAAAAATGACCCCCGCCCCCATAGTCGGTAGGCAAACGGTAATACTGTATACCAGGGTATAATTTGGGGAAGGCTTAAAGGTATCAAAAATTGGATACCGTCCAGCAGGGCCAAATGTCAGTCATGGAAATTATTACTGTAAAACATATGTTGTAATACACTATGTAGAAAGAGCAGCGACCTAGTATTAATCTGCATGAAACAACAATTAAGAGTGTACAACTAAATCAATTTGCAAAGCAGACAGTTATCTGATTCACTTACTCTAATCACACTACTGGGTTTATTCACTATTTTCTGGATTTAAACCCGTAAAAGCAGAACAAATGTAAAGTAGGACGAACCCTATCTGGAACAGGGCATCTGAGTCTCTAGCCTTGAACGACGCCTCTGGGGTCTCCACAGGGTTAACCTTGCGTGTGGCAGAATGATGCTAATGAGGAGCAGCCTGAGGTTCTGCTGGGGATTAAAGGTTCAGATCTGAGCCAGGCTGCATACGCTATTTTCCCAGGCTGCTGAGCTCAGAGGTGTTTTGATTTTGACTGGACAGGCCGTCTCCATGGGTTGCTATATTGTACTCAGAGAGGGAATCATCTTCAGACTACGCTGTGAACCTATCTGACAGAATCACCACAGTGTTGCTTTTAGTGCTTTTCAACACAGAAAATGACAAAACTGAAGGAGATATCTGATAGATAAACTTTGTTTTCAGGACATGTACCCATCACAGTGGACATGGTGCTGCTACAACATGAAGCTCACAGGGAAAGTGGAAATAGGACAATTTATGAAAATTACTCCTCTCTCCAGACTTAGCTATGATAGAAACCAGATCCATTCAGTAGCACAAAGCTTTCCTGCTTCTCAGGCCTCAGCAAAGGCTACAATCATTCCGAGGCTCTGGACTTTGTTCTGTATAGATCCATATGGCCTTAAAGCATGCAATGTGCAGAGATAGCATAGATGGAGATGTGGTCAGAAGAGACCTGGCACGCAGGGCCCAGGCCTAGTGTGGTATGGGCTGGTGGGAGACAGATATCTGCCCCCCTTGTTGGGGAACATTCCTTTTCTTTCTGCACACAGCAACTCAGCCAGAGCCCATCTGTCTATCAGAAACAGCTGCCACATGTGCAGTGTATCAGACATCTGGCTGGGAACTTGGTAACTACACCACAGAAAACAGGCTTTCAGTCAAGCTATGAAAGTGTCTCATCACAATAGGAGTTAATTTTAGCCAGGCAAGTAGTGTTGGCAGTGTCTGTTGGTTGATTTGTCCAATTTTAGGGCTGTACACGATGAAGAATTTTGCCAGTCTACTCAAATTTGGTTGTTCAGTGCAACTATATACATCCTAGACTGTCAAGAAAGCAACTGACATGAAATTCAGTGATGATTTCGATCACATTAACATTGGCATTCCAATACAAAAGAGCAACGAGCATTTAATAAAACTCAATAAAAAAAAGACAGCTACTTATAATGCAAGATTTAAATTGCAACATATTTAAATTGACTATATAAAATGTATACAATGTTTTCTTCTGAGACATGGTTATAGCCTAATTTACCAACAAGTTAACCAATGCATGTTTGATGCATGCCAGTTTGCATATATATTTATGATTAATCTTATTTGGAATTGCTCATTGAAATATTTTCTGAACCCATTTTTGTTAGCTTCCTAGTTCCGTTCAGGCAGATGCATGTCACAGAAACATTCAGTAAATGCCCACAGAGGAAGTACTGAGCAAATTCCTGCTTGGGACACCAAAATGAGGAGAAGACGACGGCAAAAAAGGGGGGCCAGGGGTACCTTCTATTGTAATGCACACAGGCTGAGAAAAAAAAAAAATATAATAAAATAAAAATAAGGTTTGAATAGATGAGTCTCAGTCAGCTGACAGGCCCCTTGACTAATGATTCGACTAGTCGACTTTCAGGGGGCAGCCCTATCCAACACTGTTCTACACTGAAATATCTCAAAAATAACTGGATTGAAATTTGGTACAGATATTAATGAAGCCCTTAGGGTGAATCCCAACGACTAAGTCCTCAAACCCAAAATCATGATGTTGGTATATGTGGGTTTTAATACAAATTAGCATAAACTAAAATGGTGAACATGGTAAAATTAAACCTTTTACAGCAGCATTTATCACTGTGAGAATATTAACATACTGACAGCATTTGTCAGAATGCTGCTAGCACAGTTTTTGACCCTTAGGAAGATACAATATATCCAAAACCTGTTGCAAATCATCGTCATTGTGGAAAATTTTGTGGCACTGGAATTTTTCAATTTAATGGTGTATTTATCAAAACTAATGACATAAATGGGCGCGGCCCCAGCTGGACACTGTTTAACACCAAAAAAAGTTTCTGCAAAACCTTAACAAACATTGCCCTTTGTTTTGTTTCTTTTTTTTTTAGCTGGGTGCGTTTCTTATCTAATAAATATCTTTCTCTCATTTCCTTCCATACAGATCCTAACCTCCCAACAGATATCACTCCCACCTCCGATATGGGTCTGTCACCACCCACTTTCACCAACTATCTACCCCCTGATGGCTCTGACAGCCCATTGCCAGGTGGAGAGACGACAACATCTAGTGCCGGCTCCCCTCACTTCCTTGGCCACGGCCTCAATGAAAACCTCATCCCCATCTACTGTTCCATCCTGGCTGCTGTGGTGGTGGGCCTGGTGGCTTATATTGTTTTTAAGAGGTCAGTAGTTGGAAAAGACTTAGATGAAAAGCTGTTCTGTGGGTAAAGACGTTAGCGAAATTGGGGTTTGCACCTCAGCCACAATATAATCTGGGACAGAGACACTGTCTTCAGAGTGACAGATGCTGCCCCAGGCTAAAAAATGGCAACATGCAGGCTACTGAAATATTCAGACCCACCATACTGGTCGAAATGGTTTTGACCTATTTTAAAAAAATCACTCAAACGCACCCAAACTTTTGTTGACTATTATTTTTGGTAAAAATAAAAACAATGCATTAGAGAGGTCACACACAAACACATTAGCACGCATGCAATTACTCAGACATACAGATGCAAGCCTGGGCTAAAACACATTCGAAGCAAGTAAACAAGCTCATTAGTGGGAATGATTGTTTGAAAAGTGCCGAGCAACGGAAATTTGAGAACCAGATTGATCAACAGTCACAAGCACATTTGGCTAATACTCTTTATGTACTTTTAGTCATGCACAAACAGATTTCAAATTATGTGAATTTCTTGAACACCCAATATTTAATCAATTAACACTTAGAGGTGTTAAGTGTACCGTACCACTCAGTACCTCATGAATATTTAAATTTATTCATTCATTCATCTTGTGAAGAAAAGCAACAGTAGGTATTCCCCCCCCCATGTTTAGGCTATAATAAAAATAATAGACTGTAGCTATTGACCTGTCCTGTCTTCACTCAATGTCAGCTGCAACTGGCTCCAGCCCCACCACGACCCTTGTTAGGATAAGCGGTATAGATAATGGATGGGTGGATAGTGTAGCTATAATATAGTTTTAATAATAATAATGAACAGCTACAGGAAAGCAAACTTGATTTAATTTAGAACAATGCTTGTTTGCCTATTGAGATTTTATGCACTACCACCATTGTAGTGCTTTATTACTCTAAAATGCTGGTATCACATCAGTTTTTGTTTTGTAGCTCATAACAGCTGTGAGATCACATAACTACCATATCCTCTGACATGCCACTTCTCCACAGGTGGAACAGCTGTAAGCAGAATAAGCAGGCAGTTAATAACCGTGCGGCTACAAACAATCAGATGGTGACGCCAGAAGGAGAGAAGCTGCACAGTGACAGCGGCATCTCGGTGGACACTCAGAGCCTGCAGGTGCAGCAGCAGCAGCAGCAGGACCAGGCCCAGGCTGAAGTCCAGGCTCAGCCCTTACACTCACACACACAGGAACAGATCGGTAAGCCTGCGAATGACTATTTATTCAACATTACTTCATATAAATTGTAGTCATGTTTTCAAAGTTGTCTTGTCAAATGAACAATTCTTAGAAAACTGAAAAAAATGATTTTATTTGTGATGTTTTAGGATGTCTGTCTGATATAATGCATTACAACACAATACAGCCATTGTGTTCAATACTTTTTCCATACTTTGATATAGAATTGATATAAGAACAATCATTCTAATCAACATCATGAAATGGAACAGTGGTTAGTGTTGTCGCCTCACGGCAAGAAGAGTTCGAGCATGGGCCGACCCGATGCCTTTCTGTTTGACACCGTTATTACAGCAACAGTGACAGGCAGAGAATGTATGACGTTTAATGTCAACAAGTGACAAAGCTCATGGATTGGCAAACAGGTGACCAAGTTAGCTGACAGCTAACAGGAGCTAATGGCCTGTCCTTTGGGGACAAGATTTTGGCATCCTCTGTCAGTGTACGTTATGTCGCCAATGCAGTGAAAATGAGAATGAGGTACACCTGTACAATTATATGCACTTCAATGCAACACTTCCACCTTAACATCTGTGTTTATGATGCTCAGAATGTTTCAGTTTTTGGTGAAATTTTCATGAATTTATAAATTCAGTTACCGGTATATGTTTATTAGTGAGGTCATAGTTAAAAGTGGTCTTGTACTGGATTGCATTATATTAGGGTGTCTGTTTTTGTCCTCCCTGGTTACATACATAAGAGGGTCAGAATATTAGGAACACATCTAAATATAATGTAGTCCATGAGGTGTGACCTGTATAGTCAAACACTCAAATATCACTTAAAAGAGATAAAAGCAGCATTCTTACTTAATCTATAAATCTGAGAAGCTTTCTACCTGAAGAAGTCTTAATTTCAGTCATGATCTTATTATTCATTCATGATTCTCTCCCTGGCTCCCACCTTCTGATTATTTCTTTGTTACTTTATAGGTTAATTATGTAAAGCCTAAGAAATGCGTACACATGAGTAATAATGTGCTATCAGGCCACACAGTTGACCAATCCTTCCTCTGCCACTGTGTTTTCTCTAGGATAGTCATTACATTCTAATGAGGCTTGGGAAAAGCTTATTTTGCTTTTGTTTTGTTCGAGTCCTTCTTTCCATTCTTTTACTCAACAAAAGCAAAGCCTGATGCATGCTGAAGAACAGAAGGAATGTCTTCTGGAGAGCCAGCTCAGGACCCTGTTGCCTCTAACTGATTGGCTCTTTAGCAGGTGTTACAAGACAGGATCCAGGCCTTGTCTCCCTGCATTTAAAATGCTGTGTTTTCACTATCAGAACCTAGTGAGTAGTATACCCTGTACTTCCCTTAAGTATCACCAAGTATAGCCACCGGGGTTGACACGGACTGCCCTGCTTTGTTTTTTCCACTGTATTTTCTCTCTGTCAGTCTCTATTTAGAGGAGGGAGGGGCTGCTGCTCACACACGAAGACAGCTGTATGTTTACACACGGTGCTTGTAGTGCTAATGCACATTCAACCAATAACCGGCGACTGCTCTGCGTGCACGCATGCCCTCCTCTCTCATGTTCCTGGTACTTTGTTTTAGTACTACCTCCTGAGGGGCGCTGAAATTTAGCTCCCAGAACGTACCTCCAAAGCAGGTGCACCGTAGTGGAGACAAACGCAGAACCCGTGACTAGTGTTACTTGGCTCCTATGATGGAAAAAAAACCCTAAAATGTACCTGGTCCAGCATCAGCATGTAGCATGTGGTAATTGGCTTTAGCAGTATCTATAGGTGTGGAAGCTATTCAAAAGGCAGAAAATGCACTGGTGCTGAAGGTTGTCAGTTCTTCCATAACCAACTGGGTATATTAGAGTATAGGTAAAGGGCTGAAATGATACACAATAAATCCATTATAATCACTGGGGGTTTCCTGTTTCCAATTTGTCTGTTGGCTAAATTAATGGGTACACCACCAGTCAAATAAGATTTTAAAATGCGAAACAGAGAAAAGTAAATGTCTCATGTTTTGACTGACAGCACTGAGAGAGGGTATTCCTTGCATGAGTCACTAGAGAGGGGTGAGCACTCCTACATGAGGGGTGCTTGGCCTCATTTCTGTCTGCTCATCTGCATTAAAAAGAACTATTTATCTGTGCAGCACCCCTCCCCCATTACTACCATTTCTTTTACTGCACGCTTCCCCCTCTGAATCATGCACATTGAATGCATTTAAAATTTAAACAAGACTCTGAGCCTTCATTCACTTTGTCCAACTGTGCATCCTGTCCTTTGCTTGACCTCACATTCAACACATTATAGAATCAGTCCAGCTATCTGTCACATATAATTTAAAGGAGAGTCAGGATTACAGCAAAAATCTAGTTTTGTAACTTGATGCATGCCAAACAGGAAATTGACAAACAGGAGGGCAAAAGGGTGTGAGTAGGTCCATCTCTCCAGACATTCAATACAACCCTATAGAGACATCTATAGCTTGGTCTGCTGGCTAGGAAGAAAGCTGAAACACGTTGCCTACCACACAAGCATTTATTCAGCTTCATGCAGCTGTTCTCTAGGCTCAATATCTGCTGGCTAGCTAGCTGGGTAGTTAGCTACAGAACATATTTCCTAGAGATCTCTTTTTCTACCGCTATTCCAGCAGAGTAAATTGTGTTTTTCTCAGCAGCAACACCTATCATTTAGGAGAAGAATAACTGCACCATTATCCAGCAGCATGTTACAGTTGTTAGGTATTTTTAGTCAGATAGAAATTGGATAGATACTTTATGTATTAGAAATGTTTAGTGGAGATAGGATGTCTAGTTAGACTGTTAAATGCTTAGTCATGCTTATGAGTTTCTACAGGGTACATCTGGTCAAGGATAACTAGAGAAGAAGAGTTGATGACTGTCAGCAAACAGGGTGTTTAATATTATTATTATGACGTGTATAACTGTAGCCTTAGTCATAATATGTTCTTATGTTTAATATCACGACATGTTACTAGAAGTCGTGTGAGAATGTTTTTAGCTACACACCACTTAATCAACAGACACACACACACACACACATCGATTTACTTCATGTTTTGACTCCTGCTATGGCCAGCTGCAAAGCTGGCACCAGAGACGTCGCGGTTGACGTTTCTGTGTAGTACGGGGCTAGCCCAACCGAAGAGATATAATGTACAGGCCTGTTGGGTTCGGGGTTTTTCATCTTTCATCTGCCTGCGTGCAGTTTGGAGGTGCAAGATGCCTGAGCGTGTAATGTTAATTTTTGCCTGTGTTCATGGAATAAATCAGCACTGTTCTGTAGTTACTCGGACTGCCTCGTCTCTCAGAGTCAGTATGGTAAAAAAGTACCGGGTACAACACAGTAATAATGAAGCTGAGTCACACAACAAATTTCTAATGGAATTTCAGTAATCGAGAATGTCTCCATGACTCATAACTGGTTTTCAACCTCCCACACTTGAAAGTGTCAAACTTCCCATAAGTATTCCCACGACTCAAATGATTTTACCAAGATGGAGGACGGTAACAATGTCAGGCATGTGTAATATTTGTTTCCCCCTTGTTCATTCACAGATATGGGAATCCAGATTTTTGATCTTTTTATATGAGACTTTGAATCCTTTCATCCATCCATTATTTATACTGCTTATCTTGTAGAGGACTGGAGCCAATCTCAGCCGACATTGGGTGAGAGGCAGGGTACACCCTGGACAGGTTGCCAGTCTATCACAGGGCTGACACACAAAGTCAGACACCACTCACATTAGCACCTACTGGTAGAGTCGCAGATCAACCTAACCTGCACGTCTTTGGACTGTGGGAGGAAGCTGGAGTACCCAAAGAAAACAGACTTTAACATAGGCCACAGGGCCAGAGTTCGTTTTCAGTTGTATGCACTACCAGTCAAACGTTTGGATACACTTACTCAATGAACTGAATGAGAGAGTGTGTCCAAAATTCTGACTGGCAGAGCATATTTAGTGATTTTTATTGAAATGTGTTGATATCTGAACATGAAAGGACCCCAAAGTCCACAGAGGCACCATGTACTGTCCAATAAAAACATGCATCTAATTTCACCATCAGGCAAACTGGCAGCAACAAATATTATTCTTCATCTCCAAGACATTTTACTCTTCCAAATGGAATTACATATAAAATTGCTATGGACATGAGAGCCAGCAGTAAATTACCAAAGAGCTGGCCAAGATAAGACTGTCCTCCCGAGGTGATGACAGATGTTGACTCGCCAGTCATCTTGGGAGGCAGGCTCTCAGCTGCTGAGATGACCAGCCTGTTTCCACAGCTGGCGGGTCTTCACGTCGGACCCAATTTTCAAACATTATTTAGATAAATTGACATCATATTATAAATTTAGTGCATATGCCACCAAAATGTCCACATTTCCACGGGATTCCTCACGCTACTGGAGCCCTCCTCCAGGTGAGCTGGCTTATAGCATGCACATTTGAGACTTCCTATGGTCAAGTTGCCTGACTTCTTTTTGGCTTCCCGCATTCATTAATAATTACAATATCACTCTACTGTTATGGCTCTTTTAGTTTGAGATGCTCAGAAAAATACATTCACTATTTTACAGCCACCCCTTTTCCAGATATTGCGTATGGGGAAAATACTTTTTTGGCCAGTGTGAATTATGAGATGAACGTTCAAGTTTTCAAGGTTTGACCACTGCACCAAAGGTGTTTCCTAGCCCAGCACTGCTCCTGAGGTCTTGGTCAGTTCCCAAAGTAATGGAATACGAAGAGTCTAGTTATTTGATCTGTGCTTGGCCAAATGCAGACATTTAATTGCAACAGTACTTGGCCTGTAACTGATAACGTCGGCAAGTCCACAGGAACACCAGTAAAGACCAGAATGCAGAGTGAGAAAGGCCTAGTTTCCCAGAAAGTATAGTGGCTAGCTTGATGAGCAGTAAACAGATTGCAGCTATAATAAATAACAAATGTAAAAATGATGCAACACTGTCAGTTAAACCGTTATGGACCTGTGCCAACAGTGGCTCTTATTACAATGGAGAAAATGTAATTATCCAAAGTTTTTTATTCTAATCTTTGTACCTCTCTTCTTCTTCTATCCCTGTTGGGGGTCTGCCAGTGCCCATGCGTGGTGCTCGACCTCCTTAACCTTCCCCAAAACTTTCAAGCACATAAGCAACCGAGTATACACAGGTATTCACAGTTCATTCATTCATACTTAGTGAGAGCAGACCCTGCAAGTGAAAGGGGTGGTGGTAAAATATGTATGCTAGCTTACATGGGAACTTAAGAGTTAACATTAAGTTAAAGTATTTTACATACTTATAGTACAACACTACACATACCCATGGAGCCATTAACTCATAATTTATCCATGGATTTTGTTGTTTAAATGGTAGCAGTAAAAGTAAGCTGTGGAGTGAATCTCTGCCCCAGAGAGTGATAAAACAGCAAAGTGAAAAACAAGTAATATATATTATTTTAATTTGTGAAACAATCCCAAGCTAGCCATTATATTAGCCAAAACTTCCCATTATACTGGACAAAACTTCCTGGGAGTTCTTCTGATTACAATGAAGCCATCTCAGTTTCAGCCTCAAGGGTCCAATCAGGATTGCATGAAAATGCAGATTAAAAAGGAAAGAAGAAGAAAGAGGCTGTTAGCAAAGCTTTGCTGTGGTTGAGATTTCTGATTGAATTTGCTTAGTGAAAGACAGTTTGTATTGATTCTTTGAATGAGTTTAATTCTATAAAACGCTGGGCAACCATGTGGCTGCTATTATCACCACTGTCTCCAAAATGAGCCACGATGCTAGTTCAGTGCAGGTGAAGGCCACTGTACAACGGAACTTGTGTGTGCTACATATGGATGGGCCCTGGTAGGGGTCAATGTCTCTCTGCTCTCTGTCACTGGTAATGCCTGTAGAGTGTCTGTTTAACCAGGCAGGAAGAGAGAGGAGTGCAATGGATTGTGGCCGTCACTGAACAGAATCAGTGTGGAGAGTAACAGTGAGCAGAGAGGCAGTCTGTGACAATCCTAGTGCATTTTATAACAAAATGATGTGAGGAAAATGCGGGGTTTTAGAAGGATTAAAGGAATTAAAACAGTAGGAGGGTTCGATCTTTGACGAAAGAATTCCTCTCCTCTAGCATTAGAATAAACCCTTTTGTAATACAGAAGGATGCACTGATAAAGAGGAGAAAGCATTCATCAGACTCAGGGTTCTCTCAGAAACGCTTTTGCATACCCAGAGCGTTTCCATGGCTTCCCTCAATTGACAACAGGTTAAGAGGTTTGTGGGAAAAGAGAGCATTTGTCTCCCATCTTCATCCAGCTAATGATTCCAGTTTAACAGGTTTCTCCAAGTGAGTGACACCACAGGGCTCCCTGCAGGAAAAAATCTCTGTTTTTTTCCATGCAGGAATTACAGGACATTGATATTTTGGAGGATAGTAAATTAACGTCTTTGTGGTGTGGGGAAAAAAGGAGCATTTGTTCATAAATCAGAAACTATCAAAGTGCCCTTAATCAAAGGCCTTCTCACTTACTAAAAAGGAGCTGCTCAGTGGGAAACACGAGGAGACTGTGTTGGTACAGCGGAGAATATGAGTAATTGTGATGTTAAAAAATGAACCGCCATTGATTCAAATAACACCACAAATCATCTGTGCATTTAATTCCAGATGCCTGACATATTTCGTTTTACTTTCTCCCTGCAGTGGTGAGGGTGGATGGCGGCCCAGAGCCTGACTCGCCTCCACCTGAAGTCTGAGAAGGTGGAGGAGGAAGAGGAGGCATCAGAGCTGAAGAAAGGGAAGACCTAAACTGTGGACCAAAAAGAAAGTGGGTGGGGGGCACACAGAGAATGTAAAACTGTCTGTGATTCATATCCGAAGTGCTACAGAGCAAAGACTTACTGTACATGGACCTCCCAGCACCTTTGGGCCACAGTCTAACTCCTCATCCCTGCATACAGAGTCCAACTCTACCTAGCAGTGTGCCTGGACACAACCTCTACGGCAATATCAAACACTATGTGTACCGGTGTCACTGCAGATACATAATCGTAGATTTGCCAGTGCTTCTCCTATTCACTGATTATTTCAGTATCTAATATAGACGTATGACATAATTCTCACCAAATGCCAGCTTATCTCTGCCAGGTTCCCTCTGTTTACATGATCACTAGTTGACCTAAACGGTAACTAGGCAGAAACATACTCCATTATCTCTGGGGCAGCATTTTTCCTCTCACATCTTCCTCTGTGGTGTCCCACTCTCACATAATCCACTATCTCTCTCCACAGGATTCACTCTATTAGACCCCCGCCGTCATCTGCGATACAAAAAGCGGTGGGGGAGCTGTGAGTCACTCCAGCTTCTTCTGAAGTCCCTTTTTCTTTTATCATGTAACCACAGACGTGTTTCATGGCATACTGTTTTATAAAATGCTTGCGTCATTGTTTGAGATTGACTGCACCAACTGCTGCAAGTGACTCATACAGTATTTGCAAAGAAAGGTCAGTACAGTGTAGCCCACTCGATAATCAACCATTTTTCCTTGGCGAGATGTTTCTTTCTGCACTCAGCAGTCTCTATCACCTTGGTGACACAAACCACTTCATCCCATCCCAGGGATTATGTTTCAGTAATGTCATGCTTCTTATGTAACACACCCAAATGTTTATCTCCTGTTTGTGGTGCATTACTTTAGTTCTGTGGCTTGAGTTACACGGCTTCGGCAGGGTGCCTCCATGCTCCTCTGTGGATGTGCAACAAGAGAGAGACATCTCCGGTCAGTGGACCTCTGCTGACTCACTGCGATGACTTGACATATCTGAGATGAAGTGAAGGTGACTGATGAGCAAAAAAAAGCTGTGAAGTCATCAGTGACCCAGTATGCAGAGCTGCTCATTAAACTGATGCTTTAATGAAAATACGGGCAACAAGGAATCCCACCTAGTTTACTGATCCCAAGTGGAAATTTGGGACACACCTCAGAGGCACTCTCTCTTTACTATCTCCACCACCTCTAATTGAACATTTTCGCTCATGCAGTCTTGCATACAGCTCTTACAGAACCTGATAAACAGTGTTGAGGCACTAAGGCATCGTCACTGGTGCTCACATCAACATGGGGCCCATTAGAGAGATGTCCTGACAGGCAGGTAGTAATTACCTCAGGGTTTTAACTTCATTTACCCTCTGCTCCTCTCAGCTCAGCCACCTCTCTTCGAGATTAATGTGGCGGACAGCACAGGGGCAACGCAGTCCTCTTTGAAGCCTCACCATGACATTACAAATCCCTTATCCAAGTCCGAGGCCAGTGACATTTACTGTATCGCCAAATATGGTGATATAAAACCCCTTAGTCCAGGCTCACTTCTAAGGCTGAGTGGCACCTTTTATCACACAGGTTATGTTTCCCCCACTCACTGCAGTCAACACAGACACCTTGTAAAAGAAGTAAAGTATACTGTAGCTGAGTTTGACTGCTTTAGTGTTTATCCCTATAGGAGCGCATACTGTATGTTCTCAGGGTTCCTCTGGAGGTGGTGTGACTAAAAATTGTCTAGTGATCCATAAAGGAGCTCTGTATGATAGAGTAGGTAGGTAGACAGTTTGAGATATAAAGCAGCTGTTTAAAAAAAAAAAAAAATTTATAGGAAGATACAGGTTGATATTAATATTACCAACATGATTAAAAAACGAGGGATTTAAAAATTTAGTTTGATAGCATGGGAAACAGGCTTATTTGCTTTTTTTGGTAAACAACCCAGTCTCACAGCAAAATGTGTGACAGCTAAATGTACTAGTCTCCAATATGTGATATGGCAGCATTTTCTGGCAGGAAAACGAAAAGACAATGGTTGACATTCCTTATACATGGTTAGGTTTAGGCACAGAAACTACATAGTTAAGGTTAGAGAAAGATCCTGGGTTTGGTTAAGGTACATATCTGTACAGTACCACCCACAGCGGGTTACCCTATCTTAGCATAGCATAAAGAAACAGCTAGCCTGGCTATAACCAAATCTGACTACAGTACCAGCATCTCGAAAATCCTCCACTTCAAATGTTATATCTTGTGAGTTTCATACAAAAATGAAATGAAATAAAGTGTGAAACATGACACGTAGTGATTTCCACATATGCCAGAATGACCCCTGGACTAATGCTATCAAAACACTGATCAGCATAAAAGGAAATAGTTGTGCAAACTATTACTTTAAAGGAGAAATAAGATGGGTTTATTTGTGAGCAGAACTTGTAGAGTTAGGTGAATAATAGATACGTAGATAAGACAAAGGAAGACAGAGAAAGTGAGTCATCATATCTTCACTTTGACTGTGGATGTGTTGGTCACATGGTCACCAACATCTCAAGACAATTAAACTCTCTGCTCTTTTGCTTTGTGATTCATTGTGTATCACTACAGAGTTATGACTGGAAACTCTACTGTATTTTGCTTCTCAGTTGGTGTGGCCATGTGACCACACACACAGAGCGACAGTGTATGATTCACAGTTCTACTGAAAGAGCTGGTATGATTCATCCAGATCACAGCGGTGGCAGTGACATTAAAGCAGACTCTGCTACAGTATGAGTGACCTGAGTGTTGATTAAAAAAAAAACTCATTGGCTCTATCTCCACCTGAGCCTCAATCAGCCCTCCAGCAGTGCACCCATCTACCCTGAACCAACTTATTCTATTTCTCCAGTATCTTGTGAAGTGAGACACACAGTGTAAGAATGTACAACCTGGATATAAAACCAAAAATATGCAAGGCACATTCAACAATAAGGTTAAAATTTCCCCCATTTTTTTTGTCTAACTATCCCACTGGTTTATATTATGAATTAGTAATACATTTTTGGAATAAGTATTTTTTCTAACTGATATGTTATTTTGTAGCACTTATTAGATGTAATATGAATGCACTCAAAGAGTGTACCGCAGTTCAAGTGCCTGTGTACAGTGTCGGGTCGTTAATTTTAGAGTTTCAACTGTAGTTTTTGCATTTCTTCCACTTATTTTACATTTTAACATGCATTACTTTGATATTTTGAGAGCTAATTGAGGTTTTTAGTAATTAGAGGTTAAAGCTATAGATGAACCTTGGAGATGCAAACATACTGTATAAACCTGGCAAAGAGAGAATTACAACATAAACATGTTGCCTGTGAGTCATACTGTGAGTAAACATGCTACTGTATAATTACAGGCAACCGAAATAAGGTCATGTAGCATTTATGGAAGCATATACTGTACATGTCACCTAAGACTGCTCTAAACCACATGTATACTATTAATCAATAGAAATCAGTTCTACTGTGCAGGTGTTTTGCATGCATAATGAGCCTCACCATGTACCTCCAGTTCAGAGGTGACATGAGTAATAACATGAACTCTATGGGGAGGTTCACTGTGATTCTCTGTGGTTACTTCAAACTCCATGCGGCTAGATCAGGACCTGCTCCCGAAAAAGCTGAATGTCACCTGTACATACCTACTAATCTAAAAGGCATTGTGTAAATGTGAATTTCCTAGGAGTTGATACAAGATACAAAAATAAACTAAAAATGTACAAAAACGTGCAAAGTAAATGAGCATCTATAGTACAATAAACGTAGATGATTGCATTACCTGTCCAGTTTGTCTTTGTACCTAAATGACAGAGCTGCTATGTTTACATGCACAGAAACATCTGATAATACATTTCATAAAAGAAAAGTTCAACATTTTGGTGGTCAGGTGACACAGTTTGATGAGAAGCTTGATACCACTCCAATGGACTGAAGCACCTCTGACATGGTATTATGGTATTACTCTATCTTGGCTGGGTGAAATATCTTCCTGACAGTAAACCCAACAGAGAAGATGAAAAGAAACAGCCTGTACATAGCCCACAATAAACATCAATCTGTTGTTATTCCACAGATTTTGGTACAGCTTAAACAAACAAGATGTGACCAAGCAGCAACCACCGAGGTGTGTTAAAACGTGTTGTTCCTCAAATGGCCACTAGAGGCTGGCTCCAAAAGGGAGTCAATCGCCATAGACTTCCATGGTAAATGGTCTAAATGGTCTTATACTTGTATAGCGCCTTTCTATGCTTTTACAGCACACTCAAAGCGCTTTCACATTATTCGGCCATTCACACTCCCAAACTGCTGACATCACCGGGAGCAACTGGGGGTTCAGTGTCTTGCTCAAGGACACCTCGACATGTTGACTGGACAAGCCGGGAATCGAACCGCTAATCGTCCGGTTAGGAAACGACCCGCTCTAACTGCTGAGATACAGCCGCCCCCAAATTGCTCAACCATACAACATAAATAAACAGGTTTACATCCACACACACTCCTACCGGTAATTTGGCGTTGCCAGTCAACCTAAGCTGTATGTCTTGGGACTGTGGGAGGAAGCCGTAGTACCTGGAGAGAACCCATGCAGGGGGAGAACATGCATACTTCACACAGAAAGGCACCTTCTTGCTGAGATGACTAAACACTGCTCCAGCATGCCGTCTTCATATAACACATCCATTTAAATTATACCGAGGACAAAAGTTATGCAAGGGCGTGGCCATTCTGAGTGACTGGTGGGAGGGTCCTGCCACAGGTGGCTAACTGCTAACTGTCTAGCAAGCCCCACTCACGCTCCACCTCTTTGCCTACTTTTGGATTAGCTGTAGCTGGCAGAGTGAAGCACGACCAAGATGGTGATGGCCAGACTTTAACCTCAGAACCACTCTTCAGAAACTGATGGGTGACGTCACAGACGTTTTGTCCATCTTTTATATACAGTCAATGGATACGATGTAGGTGGATTTTGTTACCTTTGAACAAAGCTGGGTCTCTCTGTTCCAGCCTATATTCTAAGCTAAACTATCTGGCTGTAGTATATTTATGGTACAAACATTAGAGGCATGAAGCTAATAAGAGTATTTCCAAAACACAGACCTTTTCACTTGATTCAGTAACTTGGTTTAGGATGCACACAGCATAGCGGGGTTACTCTGATATAGAATCATTCTTGAATTATTCAAATGATTCCCAAAGTAGATCTAAAAATGTCTTGAGGAAATGTTCACAATATGCTACACGTTAAGAACAAAAAGTGCAGCTGTAGTAATTTTTTTGCTTTTTCTCACAAACACCCAAAAGCATAACCTCAAGCAAAAGGTAGAAACTTGATGAACAGGCAGCCAAACCACAGTCAAAAGCAGGACCATATGTGAAGTTCCATTGGACCCAGACTCTGGTTCCCTGCAGTCTTAACATCACTTCAGTATTCCCAGGTCCAGCAGGGTTTTCTTCCTGCTATGTGTCAGAGATTAATTCTCAGTGATAAATCCTCAACAGAAACAGACAGGACATAAGTGGAGGACATAAGTCACAATATACAGTACAAGCATCTGTATTTTCTGAAATTTTGGGGGAAACACCAGTTTTAAACAGTCAGTACTTCAACTTTTGATTTTGCAGACATGCTTCTGTGCAGCCCTTTCCCTCCTTGACTACTGTCTATTGGAGGGCTTGAATGGAGAAACTAGACTGAGATGCAGCAACAGATAGACTGCAGAATTTTAATTTGATCAGCAGGGAGTACTTATATGGAGACTAATCAAACTACCTTGTGTCAAGATTAATCAAGACTGCAAGTCAGCTGAAATGGCAGAAAAAAAGTCTTAAATAGGGAAAACAGACATGCCTCATATAAAAAGCAAAGACATTGACATGTGCTCAAGGAGATAAAACAAACTACTTGTAATTGACTAAAGTCATAAACAGTCATTTTCAGTTATAAGAAGATGAATATCTGTGCTGATGATTTAGTGCTCCTCTGTTTACAGATGCTTTTATTAGCGATTTAAAATCAATAAATTATTGTGCTGGTCAGTGCAAAATGTATATTAGCTACACTGGTCCACAATTATGGCTGTAAAACTGTGACATGGTAACGTTTGCTGCATTGCAGCAAAGACTTGGATCCCTTTGTTCTTACCCAAGCCTCATTCAATAAAATCTGGATTGTTCACCACCAGTGTGTCAGCAATGATAGGTGAAAAAAACAGAGTTTAACATCCAGTAGTAGCGAAAATGCATGGCGTGTTGTTATGGTGCATTAACTGTGGTCCAAATTCGACGTTGAATACTCATGCATTAAAAATAGAAAACTAGAGTCTTCTACCTGTTTGCAGCCATGTCCCACTCGTCCCCAGTGGTGAACCCAGCGCCTCTGTGGGATGATGTCACCGCCCGCTGTGGTGCAGTGAGGGTGCAGATAGCATAGAAGGTCACACACAGCTTAAATGAGAAGTTAGAAGCTCATGCACAGTTATAAGGTCTGAAGAGACCCATCATAGAGGAGAGAAGCCAAACTTTTTACAGTGCTTGCATATTCTTTTACTGCAAATGATAATTCATACTCGAAACAGAACTAAAGTGTTAAAACTCCTGTTAAAAACATTAGAAGGTGGTCGTAGGAGTGGATAGATGGGTCAAACAAACTTTCATGAAGAGATCCAGAGATCGTATGTGACGTACCTCTCATTTTAGAGTGTTTTAACTGAACCCAGATGCTTTTCCTAACCTTGTAGTCTGTGGGCCTAAACCTAACTATCCACTTTCTATGCCTAAACATGGGACATTTACTTTCAGTTTTACTGCCTAAAAGACACCGCCATGTCACAATTTTCAATCAACAAAAACACTGAAATATAACAACTTTGAGGTGTAAATGTGAAAGTAGTACATTTAGAGTTTGGACCAAAGTAGTTATTATACATTTTGCTGTGAGACTGGGTTGTTTAGCTAAACTATTACCAAGAGGGCTATCAACCTCACTGCAGCACTCAACTTTACAGAGCGCACCACCATGTCTGAAATGTCACTGTCTGCCTTGCTTTCCATATAACAATGTTTTCTACTTCATTCAAGACAAATCATTTTTCTGGGCATAAAGTGGAGGGTGCATACATTATACAAATGGGAAAGCAAAGATAAAATCTAACCCTGGCCTAAAATAATCCATCTTTATCTTGATACTAGGTGACAGTCAAGCTATGTATGTGGGCAAACTGAATCCCACTGAGTCTCACTTTAACATTTCATTAGTCTACTATGCTGTCGATGCTACTGCATAGCAGAGCAGGGGATAAGCAAACCGGATCCATGCATGAAAGCTCATCAAGTTGCTGCATCAGTGTTGAGCTGAGGCATATTAGAGAGGATTTCTTTGTGGCTCCAAAAATGGAGGGTTAAACATATAGGAATAATCTCAGTAGGCAAGAAAATAAATCTTTATTTAAGTAGTAATTTATCTGGTTGATTACCTGTCATTTGTCAGCTTCATACAATGAAGTTTACATTCTCTGATGTAAATAACAGTAGGGCTTTGTACACATATGGATTTGATTTATGGATTTTTACAGTGCCTAAGATATATTTGGTACTATGTGACACCCTGTCTCCTTTTTCTCTTTCTTTCAAGCTGATGTTCTTTAGAAGTCCCACAGCAACAAGTACAATGTGATAAATTAAAATAGGCCTGACTGATGAGGATTTGGGGTGGGCTGTGTTTGACTCGGTGGGCTGGTTATCCACCATGGTGATGTGTTACAGGATGGGGCTCCCACAGCTGGCTGCCATCACTCTTAGGTCCATTTCTGCCCTTTTTCTAGCTCTAGCTCATTTTTGACTCTTGTACTTTTTCAGTTCCTCTGTGAGATGGGACAGCGTGGTGCCCTCATTTCCATGTGGGATACATGATGGGAGAGACCAGGGGTAAACTGGTTGATTTAACTGGTGCTGTACTGAATGGTTTCCTCATGTGCCCTACACATGATCCAGACCTACAGTCAGCTCTCCCACACTGATTTCTCACCCTAGAGAGACATGTATGAAAACACAAATAAAGCAGGAACGCAAACACTATAGCATGACCGAGATCTTCGATGAAAAGTCCTCTGATCTCCAGCTATGTGTGTGTATGCATGCATTGTTTTATTCCTCTGTGTCATGTGTATTTATTTTCAGGTGTTTAGACATCACAGCCAGACATTCACCCTGTTTGGAGCCTGTTGAAAGTCCTTCACAGACTCACTCTTTCTCCTCAGTGTGGAAAGATGCCATTGTCCAAAAAAAAATTATCCTCCTTCGGGACATCACCTCACATTGTGTGCAGATGTAGTTAGACTGACTTTGTAGATGCAGCCCAAAACGGCTCTGAGCAGATGTGTATCAGTGCTTCAGTATTTTCATTCCACTCTAACTTGTTCTGGTTGTACAAAGGAACTCTGAGTTACTGTAGAGGTGCAATATGAAGTTTTTTTTATGTTTCAAAAACAAGAGCCACATTTCTCATAAATCTCAGTGCTTCTCATTGGCTGTAACAACTGTATTTCTTCCTCCTCCCTGTTGTCACTTCAGTTATTATAAAAACAGAGCAGAGAGATAATGGAAAAAAAATAAAGTTGGGTGTTAAAGGAATACTACATGAAAATTTATGTTGCATCAAATAGCGACTGCCTGTTGGCGTGAAAGGTTGTTTTGAACGATGACAGCTCTAGTTGGTTTGGATTTTCATAGCATTTACAAC